CTGCCTGTTCTCTAAAGTTTCTTGAACTCCTTTTCTCATCTTTATAGTGGACTATGTATATTCTTCTTAAAGAGAAATTTTCTCCCTAGCCACGATTTACTTTGAATCACTTACAAGCTTTATTTCCTTAATCCTTTAGCAATGTTGCCCACTTGCCATCACCCCACATGCATTTTACTCCCAAGATATTTAATTCTCCTTAGTGTAAAGTTATATTAACTGCAAAGATGAGTATCCTTTTTTATTAGTAGTATGGGGGAAAAAGAAGGAAAAAAAACCCACACACAACAAACCATCAGATGTAAGATATCTGGAAATAAGATATGTGAAATATATAATAGAATAGTTCAGTTGGAAGGGACCTACAATGATCATCTAGTCCAACTGCTTGACCACTTCAGGGCTGACCAAAATTTAAAGCATATTATTAAGGGCATTGTCCAAATGCCTCTTAGACACTGCCAGGCTTGGGGCATTGACTACCTCTCTAGGAAGCCTATTCCAGTACATTCTTTACCCTCTCGGTAAAGAAATGCTTCCTAATGTCAAGTCTGAACCTCCCCTGATGCAGTTTTGAGCCATTCCCACACATTCTGTCACTGGATACCAGGGAAAAGAGACCAGCACCTCCCTCTCCACGTCCCATCCTCAGAAAGCCGTAAAGAGCAACGAGGTCTCCCCTCAGACTCCTTTTCTCCAAACTAGACAAACCTAGTGTCCTCAGCCGCTCTTCATAGGGCATCATGCCTTCCAGCCCTTTCACCAGCTTTGTTGCCCTCCTCTGGATGCATTCAAGTACCTTAACATTCTTTTTAAATTGTGGGGGCCAGAACTGCACACAATACTCAAGATGAGGCCACAACAATGCTAAATACAGAAGGAATAAGATAATGTGAATTTCAATGCTTGTCCCAAGAAAGAAATTGTTGTTTTATTTACAAATCAATTTTACCTGTATACTAAAGTAAAAATATCAACAAAAAGGCGTCTTTCTTTTTCCTTCATTCGAATTAAAGCACAAGGTTCAGTACTGAAGGCCAACACAAAACATTTTTATTTCTGAAGTAATTTTTTCCAGCTTTTACTTTGGCTTCTGTTCACAGATGCAACAGATTTTTGGTGTTTATACTCATTCACCCAAGACCAAAACAAATGCTAATTAAGAAAAAAACCCAAAACCCTGTTTATATCAACTTGATCTGCATAAAACATTAGTTGGCAATACAAGTGCCACTATAATTTAAAGGTCCCGGCATCTAATCGTTCATGTATTCTTTGTTTTGGAATTCTCTGAGATTCACAAACTTATTTAGAATTTGTCTAGTTTTCTTTAGCAGAGAGATTAGAATAGGTACTTGAAATTAAGTTACTGTTTTGAGACCAATTAAAACCATTAGGACATGCAGCTGATGAACATAATGCCATTTTTCCACTTTTCTTTCTTAAAGACAATCGACTGTTGCAAATCTGTAAATCTGAAAGGACTTAATTAGTATCTAGGGACAGTTTAGTGGTATTTAATTAACAAAGAGACCATAAATTACTTTAAGGAAAAAAAATGAAACTAACCAACCTTTCATTACATCCTGGTAGGTTTTTTTCATGGGAAATTCTAGTTTAAGGGAATATACTTTGCCATTTAGAATGATCACAGGAAGCAACACTTCAGACTAGCAAGAAAAGTGTTCTAGAGCCTCATTCCAATTTTTTGTCTGTACAGCAGATGGACTACATTTAAAAAAAAAAAAGTCTTGAGAGCTAATGTAAAGGGAGAAACTAAATCACAGAAGGAAGCAGAATATAGCTATTATTTAATGCAAAAAAAAAGGTGCTGGAGTATTCAAACACAGATTCACAGAAAAAGGACTCACATTATTTCCTTCCCTGAAAGAACAGACTCATCTACCTACTGTCACAATGCCGACTCCATAAAATACTACCAGGGCAGAAGGCTTTATTATAATATTAAAACCTTTGCTCATTCTATGTTCATTTTTATTTCTGTTACCTTATCCCCACCGTAACAGACTGCATCTCCTCTTACTGAGACAAGATAGAATTAAACTTCCTAGTTTATTCACCTACTTCATCCTATTTGTAGAGTCTTGACTCTTTCTTATTACGCTGTATTCAACCTGATCTTTGCTCTCTCCAGTGTTATTGATCATATCCCTTTAGAAACATCTGATTGTCTTGACCAGGGTGTGAATTGTCCATTCAGATAAAGGAAATCCATAATACTAAACTTATCATAAAATAAGCCATGAATTATCATCCTAAACAGCTTTTCAATAAAGGAGAGTAAAATGTGTGTGATTAAAACAAAAACAAAGGAGAGGGAAATAAGAATGATATCCATCTTGCATTAAGGAATCATTGGCAAATGGAAGAAACAGATATAAACAGTGATAAATATTTTGTTTTCATTGCTTTCATTCTAATGGATTTGAAATTAAGTCTTAAATGGCACAAGGAGTCTTACAACACAGTTTCTAAATGTTAGCTGAATCTATCATATTCAGCTTCAGCCTAGGTTCACAACTGAATTTTTATCTTATCCTATGGCAGGACATAACTTCTTCCTCAGCTGAAGTAACTACTTCCTTTCCAAAGGTTCCTCTCCCCCCACACCTTGCCTCAAAAAACACCAGTTTGCAGTTGAGCTCTAACAAGATTTAAACTCTGCTTCTTTAAGATTGATAGTTTCTCATAGCTAAGAGTTGTTCCCATATGTACTTCAAAGGCAAGTGATGATGTGGACTTCCCAACAGCGTGTTCTGCTTTTGAAGTCTTTGAATTATCCATAGGAGATGCTACTAACAAAGAGAAACTGACAGTCTTAAAAAGTAGAATTTAAATTTACTTACAGCAAACACCATAAAAAAGAGAGAGGATTACCTTTTTAAAACTGATTCTTTTTTCTGTCTCTTCAGAACAGCAACAGATTTCAAGAAAAAAAGATGTTGTAGCTGGGACTGCTGTTTATCAGCATATCATGATATGAAGGGTCTAGCCACTCCAGAAAGAAATAAAAATTTAAAGTGAATATTTCCTGAAATAATTCTTTATGCTTTTTAAATAAACTAAATACCTGAATCTCCTTATTCACTGTCAAATTTATTTAAAATTTATTTTAAAAGAGCTCATGTTCTTTTTTTGTCTTAAGTGTTTACAGTAGTCACAGGTAGATCAAGTGGATCACAACATACACAAGAAAAACTTCTCCATCTTTGTTCCTATTTCTACTTATATCCTGACTTGAAAACATACTTTATGAAAAGATCAGGTCTAGCACAACTGTTAACAACACATCTCTTTCAGAAAACATGGAGTTTAAAGAGCCCATTAAACATGGAATATTTCCTTTGGGTTTTTTTTTTTTTTTTTTTTTGTGGGAGGGGAGAAAATTACTTGAAAATATTGAGCAAACCAGTTTCAAAGTGTTAAAACATATGACTTTTCTAACTGAAAGGCCTGTTTTAAAAGGTAACGTGTTCATTGTAAAAACAGTTAGTCTCCAAACGATTTAAATCAAAGTGAAATATTTCCAATTTATGTAAACCTAAGTCTATAACTATTTCACTGAACCACAAATTACTTTTTCAGTCATCGTTTGATTAAAATTTGAGGCTTTTTTCACTTCCTGTCCTATTTCAGAACAATAATACAAAAAAAAAAAAAAATCAAAAAATTTTAATAAACAAGCTACATATTTCTTGCCTTAAGTCTGTAAAGTTAAACTTGAAATCATAAGTTTGATTACCTTATGCTTTTGGTGACATCAGCCAACAAACTTTTAGGGAGGCAGCCTCTAAAATTCACTGCCTTGCTTTTTTTTAAAAGGCATGAAGAAAAAAATCAGTTATAAATAATTTTATGCACTGCCATCTCTGTTCCCTTCTCACCTTTTGATAGCTATACACACACCTTATTTGAACTTAAATAGTAAGCAGGCATTCTGTCCTGCTGTAACTGCTGTTTATCTAGCAGAGTCAGTCTTCACTACAAGTAGCCTCACATGTAACACATATTGTTTCTTGATCTTATTTTTTTATTTCAGATTTAAATAGATCGTAGCATTATGTAACAAGGGTATCAACAATCTTCCAATCCACTGAACCATGAGAAGGGTTTGAGGCTCACCATTCTCTTTTCTTGCAAATGACAGTACAACCAGCATGGAAGAGGTTAGCAACATTTCCAAGAAGATTAAATATATCTCGTTTGGTTAAGTACCTTCCTTGTATCTTCCATTAGAGTTAGATTTTCCTCTTACCAAGGTCTTAGTTCTGACCACCGCTAGATAGACCTCGAATCAAACTTAAGTTTTTAAAGCATTTTTCAGAGATGTCAGTGTCAAGGCAAAACAGAAGGGCAAAACAAATTTTAGGGTGAGGTAAGGGAAAGGAAGCAAACTGGTATATTTCTGCTGGAAAGTCAGGAGTTCGTTTTTAACTCATGTAACTCATCTGCAAAACAAGCCTCCAAACTTCCTTTGGTTTCAATTACCACCAGCTAAAACCAGGGCTCCTTCTGTAATTCTCTCTGAAAAAGCAGATACTGAAATTCCAAAGAAATACGGCATCTGTTTTCTAACTTAACTAAATCCAGAAGCAGCCCTAGAATTTAGGTCTTCTATTTCATACTAATACCAGTACATCTTTCAAGTTACCATATTTTTCTTCAAAATTTAAGTTTTAAATAAAGTCAAAAGACATAGCTGTGAGCAACTGTTAAGACACTGCAGGAAATGCAGATAGAGCATGACTTGATTTATTGACAGCTATGAGCTCAAACACACAGAATTCAGCAACTGAAGCATGCTTATGAAAATACTTATGCTAATAAATCCACATTATTTGTTGTTCACTACCTTGCCAATAGAAATTCTTGTAATTTAGTTAAGATTTCTTAAATTAAGAAATATGAGTAGTAACACCCCTCCTCCCTTTCTTTTACATCTGAATATATCTACACATAGTCTAATGCTTTAGCCTTACCAGTGCTGTCATCATAAACAACGGTAACTGTTTTCCACTTGAAGAACTGCACAAGGTCAAGGATGGCACGGCTGAGTGAAGAGAAATCTGGATAGAGGCTGACATAGAAGGAGTCCTTGTTGTCTGACACCTGATGTTTCCAGCGGGTCTGGATATGTGGAACACCCAAAGCGTTGCAGATGGATTGCACAGCATTAGCTGAGGAGCTATGGGATGGTCCGAAGATGGCAGCCACCCCAAGGGACAGCTGATCGCAGGCTGAAGAGGAGACAGAAGTCTGTCAATGATGAGAGGAAAGAAGGCAGTGTGCCAGAAGGTACTGCACAATTCATATTAAACAAAAGGCACTCCATGAAATATAACTTTATTGATGTCAGAGCTCCCTTCTTCTGTAACATTTTCATTTACACAGATTTCAGCTTCAGAATACATTTCTAAGCTTTCACTATGAGCTGATGAATAGCAACACTTATCAAAATAGCACTCAACTATGTTTAATAAACACTTCTATGTCAGTGGAAGTCACAAAGGCCAGCAATTGTGTATCTTTTAAAAAGCACTGACAAGAGAAGAGATTTATGCTCAGCTGCATCTTACATTTGGAAAAGGGCCATATGGGACAGTATTCTAACCTAGGCTGTCTAAGTGTTAACTTCTTCCTCAATCAATCAACACTATCAACACAACTATCTACAAGAAGGGC